TAGCCACTTTAGCCATATTATTTTTTTGTCAAATGTCCTAATTACTTCAGCAGCAGTCTTGTCTGACAAGTGACTTGAGATCAAGGCCTTMATGCAATTTTGTTCTCATCTGATTTTTTTTTCTCTCCAATAGATTACACAATTAGATAGATTTCTGTAGAGATGGAATAGACATTAAAATAGTCTGAGTGAAAAAACACTGTGCAGTCCAATGGAAACAGAGTGATCAAAACTGTTATTGTTAGGCCTGAGCAGAAGTTAAGGCATGGGTTTGTTTGTTTGCTGAGTGATTAGTACTATAGCCTAAATTTACCCTTGAAGGACTCATCTCGGTTCTCTTATAACTGGTTCTTTTATGAAGAAGCAAAAGATAAAACTAATAAGTGATTTTTGAAAATTGTGCTGAGGTTAGAGCAAATATTTTCTAATGACTGAACTTGTAGGTGTTTAAGGCTTTCCACTTACTGATGATGGGCAAAGTTTATTTCAGCTCTGTAGTAGAAGTAGTCAGTTAGGTGCATTCAAACTTGCAGCTAAAGTTATTTAACTGTGGAAGTGGTATGTATCAAAAATGTCTCTTTCTTCTCTATCAGAATGCACATAACTCAAACTTTAAAACAACAATGAATTTTAAGGAACAGTCGTTATAATGTGTAAGATACCTGTTCGGACAATATTTCAATAGCTTCACAGAATTTTATTCTAAATTTCTTGAAATAAGATTCTGAATGGAGTCTCCAGATTGATTTTAAATGAAATCTGTGTATGATTTGGAAAAACACACTTTTACTTATTCAAATCTTTCCTCAAAATCTAGAAGAAGTTTGGAATCTGTTTCAGAGATCCATGAAAGAAGGAAAGTGCTGTTGAATTTTTATAGTTAAACCTGGACATTCCCACCATTTTTGGCAGGACCTTTTCTGTCATGCCCATATCACTGCTTTTCTCTCACTAGACAGATTTTTGTGGTGGCATTAACAAGCTGTGCCTCCTACAATGAGTCTGCAGAAAATTCTCAATAGCTTTATGCATAGTCTTTAGTCTTACTGGCAGAGACTGAGAAGAAAAAGAGATTTCTATCCCTGTCTCAGATGATAGAGCATGGCAGTCTGTTACAGGTAGACAATACTAAATATGGACGAAAGATGAAAATCTTTGCAATCCTTATTCAGATAAAAACTACCACAAGGAAAAAGAAATCTGTTGATGCAAAATTTCATTATGCTTGATTCTAAAATTGTCCTGAATCTGAAGAGATCTGGCTTTATGGAAGGTATTGCCTTTAAAGATGATCTCCATCCAGTGCATCAGCCAGTGAATGCTTGAAACTGTTAGAGAAGATGCGACACAAAAAGCGAGTACTGACTTCAGTAAAGTAAAACAAGATGACAGTGGAAAAGCAATTACTGAATGGGCAATATACATGCACAAAGTAAATAAAAATAGGTTGGGAGCAGGAACTGAGTGGGAACTGAAACTCTGAGTAGCTCTTTAAGGCTGTGTTCCCATAGAAGGTAGTGAGACTTCTACTTACTGTAAACTGGATCCATATGCTGCCTGACTCTCCATAAGAATTGTTTTCCACTTCCAGTAACTCAAACAACCAAGACAGTTTGCCTGTTAGAAAAAGAATGAAAAAAMCAGATAGGTTTTGCAGTTCTAAAGATGATAAAGCTGGGCTCTATCACTCTTTTCTGTCAAAACTACATTCATTCCCAGAATAGTCTCTGATTACAAATGCAAGGGCATTCAACAGTAAGAATTGACTTGGATCTGGCAAATATCCAGAATTCCGGGAGCAAAAAACCATCAAAACCAACCTCATATCTTCCTTAGAAATGAGCCATAAGTGCACTACAGTTCAGCAAGTGTTTATAGTTAAAAAAAAAACAAACCAAACCACAAGCAGATTACCGTCATCTGCAACAGGTAAGTCAGAAAATATGATCTTGTGTCAAGTGCATTCCAGCAATTGTATGTCTTGTTATTTGCTTTAATAATATGTCTGTCTCAGAGTAAGGCTCTGAGATTTCCTCTTTGTATTTGTGACATCAGGTGCTACAAAATCACTGTGGAGAGTATGGTGAAGTATTTGCCCTGTGATGTGAAACAATGTATAAAGGATGGCAAAGTTTCATTAATCCCRGTGTGCCATTTCCATACTCCCACAGTGTCTAAGGAAGATGAAGCTTCAACAGTTCACTGTTTCCCCTCGACCTAGCAAGAATGGAGATGTACCTGTTTCATACACTTCATCTTTCTTCTCTTCATGTAGGCACTAACTAACCCAACTTGAGGCTCTAAGAAGCACGAAAATAATCTAAACCACAGGGCACCTTGTAGGGAATTACCTTCCATTTCCTCTGCAGAAAGCTGAGAGCCAGAAGAAAGAAATTATAAGTGCTAGCGTGACAACTCTCTCAGTAGATCCTAGTTCCTAGGGCTGGGCAGCTAGGTGCCACCTCTTTTGCTGTGTGAGGTGTGAAATGTTATTTATCCCTTGGGATATATGAGCTCAGAAGAAAGCTGAGGACAGGTGAAAACAGAACAGGGTGTATATGTCTAATAAATGTGTAACTGAAGTAAATTTATGCACCAAAGTGAATAAGGAGATTAATTTTGTTAAGCTTTTCAAACACACTAGAAGTACCACAAAACAAAGGAAACCTCTTTCTGTTTGTCAGATTTAATTCCATTTCAGTTAAACATCTCTTCCTGTTTCTAGTACTCAGGCCAGCAAATCCAACTCCTTTACTTTCTTCTGGAAGGAAGTTACAAAATCTAAATATTAGCTATATTTACCATTCTGCAGTGTCTGRGGGTCTAAATCAGAGTCTAGGAAACCACCGTGAGTTGCATTCCATGAACACAGAGTAAGTAACAGTCATTGTCTCAAATGTGGAATATTTCAAATCTGTAACACACAAACTCCAGCAATGTTGATTAATTCCCTCTTTCTTATGAGGTCTATTCAGATTCAAAAGAATCGATGTTAGTCTGTGGGGCATGGATTAACATCACATATTAAAATATTATTATAAAAAATATATTGTCTTAGATTATGTATCAGAGAAATTTTTAAAGCTACTTTACTACCCAGAAGTGAAGTACCAACATCATTTGCAGCCATAACAAATCTTAAAGAATCCCTGCCTACTGTTGAAATCAAGATTCTTCAGCCCAAATCTGGAACCAGAATCTCATGTCACTGACACAAAAATCAGTGATTAGAACTTCAACCGACCCATGACAGTAAGAGTYTGCTTTGATGCTCAAAAGTATTCATTCATTGCCATTGAAAAGCCAAATGTTCGTAAAGACCTTAGTCTTCTATTTTGTCATTTTCCTAGACCTGAATCTTACAAATGCTTGATTCAGACCCCGAAGAGACACTGGAGTCCTTTCCCTAGTCTTTGATGAGTGTGGAATCAATTTCATAATCCCAAAATTAGATGCAATAGTTGCAAAAAAGCATATTGTAGTGTATTCTTTTGTGACAACTTGGCAATAGCAGTATGTGATAGCTGCATTATAGGCAGAACTAGAGGGTTTGKTTTTTTTTTCAAAAACAACATATCCGAGTTCTTGATGAGATACCAAGTACAATTTTGAGTGGGATGATATCTAACTTCTGTCACAAGAACAGCCCTCCACAAACAGTGACTTATTTGTACTACCAGACAGGCAGAAGTGCTCAAAGAAATGTATTTTCTTACAATTTTTCTCATTCACTACACTTTTTCCAACTGCTTCAGAGCTAAGAGGCAAAACATAATGTTTATTCAGGGAGATACTACTTTATTCATGAAAGAAAGCAGGATTCATCTAAATAAATGTATATATACATTTACCTATGTACAAATGTATTAATATTTACATGTATTTCTATGTCTCTATATGCAGATTTTGCATTGTGTTATACACACACATATATGTATGTATGTCTGTATATCTCTATATATGTACACATATCTCATAGTTTTATAAACACACACACACACACACACACACACACACACACACACGTAGGTATGTTATGTCCGTATATCCCTATGTATCTACACATATGTATAAACATATGACCAAAGCTGCCCGGGCGGAAGGTCAGCACGGGGATGCCAGCCATACGCCGATGCGGGATGCAACCGGAGGGCCGGGGAGCCCCCAGGCGGCCAGCAGGGGGGCACGGGGTTCTTTGTAGGGGCGGTGGATCCCCCCGCCGCTCCCGAGTCATGRAGCCCCGGTGGGGACGTGTCCGGCTTCCCAAGCGACTCGGCGCGCAGGCGCCTCTCAATCCCCAGCTCCGGTGAGATGCTCTCGGACCTGGGAAGGGGATCGCCCTTCCATTACCTGCTTCCTGCTTTCTTTCTGGCCCCTCTTCCTCACTTTTCCTCTAGATCCCTGGCTCGGATTATTTTTTTTTTCCTTGTCTTTGTTTTATTTTTTAATGTTGCCGACATCTCGGGAGCCCATTCGCTTTCCTCTGTAGCTCCCGCTCCTCAAATATTGAAATCTGAAGGGGACCCGCCTGTTGATTATCCCCGACTCCCCTTCTCTGAGCTTCCACCTACCCTCTGTCCCCACCCCTCCCTCCGATTCCAAACCTTTGGTTGGTGTTTTGGTGTCATTAGGAGATTAACATCCCTAGAGCACGAGGGGAGGAGGAGTAGGAGGAGGAGGAGGAGGAGGAGGAGGGGGAGGGTGGAAGGGAAAGCGAGACTGCAGGCAGGAAGGTTGGCACATTAACACGAGTGAGACTCTTCTCCCGCCGTCCCAGTCACCCCTGACTCCTGGGTGGCAGCGGAGGGGGCGTCTGCCGGCGCGGCGGGTTGCGGACGGCGGCTGACGGGCGCGCCCGGGACCCGCGCCCGCGGAGCGGCGGGGCTGCCGGCGGGCGAGCGGCTGCGGCTCCTGCGCGCAGCCCCCCTCTCTTTTATGAGCAGCGAGGCGGCAGAGCGGCGGCGGGGGACACCTGGAGGAGCATTTCTTTCCCGGGGTTTATGAATGGCACTGACATGGAGGAAATACCGTTTCAGAAAGTCAAGACCAAGAGAAAGAAGTGTTGCCACTGCTGCTGCTCCCCGCCGGCTGCCGCGGCGTCGGGAGCGGGAGCCGGGTTGGGGGACCCTCCTCCCTCGCTGCTGCTGGATGCCATCGCCTGCGAAGACGAGTTTGACTGCAAGGAATTGGAGGCTCTCTTCCAGAGCTACAACCTGAAGCTGGAGCAGACGTCCACCCTCAAGGCGCTGGCCGTCCTCATCGTGCTCACCGCCAGCCTAGCCCTGGTGGAGCTGCTCTCCGGCCCCAGCCTGACCATCTCTAAAGGTTCGCACCCGGTGCACTGCATCATCTTCCTCTCCCTCTTYATCGTCACCAATGTCAAGTACCTGCAGGTCACCCAGCTGCAGCAAATCGTCAAGCTCACCTTGCTCTTCAGCTTCACCTTCTCCTTCCTCTGCTGCCCCTTCTCTCTCGGCGCCTACGGCATGGAGCCGCCCAGCGCCCCCGAGCAGGGCATGTGGCAGCTCATGCTGGTAACCTTCGTCTCCTACTCGCTGCTTCCCGTCCGGACTCTGCTGGCCATCGTCTTCGGGCTGGTGGTGTCGGTCTCCCACCTCATCGTCACCGCCACCTCCGTCAATGCCAAGCGGCAGCGGCTCTGGAGGACGGTGAGAGAGGCCGGGCCGGGCCGGGCCGGGCACTGCAGAACGGCACAGCCGCGCGGTGCCGGCCCGCCGGGGGGAGGGAGAGCCAAGAGGCGCGGAGCGGCCCCGGGAGGCGGCTGAGGAGTGCTCGGGGTGTCTCTGGAGGGAAAGGGGCGAGCGCGCACCTAGCCTCAGGCGGCTGTGCCTTAGTTCCCGAAAGTTTCCGGGAGGCGGGAGGGGATGGTGCATCTTTGGGGAGACGGAAGCCCTCGGCCTTGTCTCTCCGAAGAAAACCGTGGACAGGTCAGGGAAGCCAGTGCCCCACGCACAGGGCAAGTTCAGAGCACCGCATGCACGGTCAGTGCAATACAGCGCGCATCAGTAACACCACTTGCTYGGTTCTTGGTACAAACTTGGCACAGACAATAAGCTGCGTGTGGCAATTAACACTTCCGCCTAGCTGTTTCGTATTATCGCTGTCTGGCTCAATTGTGGGCCCTTCATGTCTATAAACAGCCCATCTGCGGGGGTGCTCTAAGGAAACGATTTGAAATAGGTGGGACGCTCAAAGAGGAAACTCCACTTCGCTTCTCAACCAGCAAGCACGGCATTCCCCCTTCAGCTCCCCCAAGGCAGCTGCTGCCCCCTTTCCACAGACATTACCTGCTWTGGCAGTGAACTACCTAGCGGTTCCCTTTCCCCTCTGAATTAATCCAGCAAACCTCCCTCTGCAGCAAGCATCTTTAGAAACGTGCTGCTGCACTCTCCCCTCCTCCCCCGAGGAGCTATTTATATCCCTGCAGGGCTTCCTCCGGCTCTCAGTGACCTGATGGGCCGCATTGGCACGGGGAGGAGGATGAGGAGATGAGTGTATAGGAAACGTGGGAACTGGCAGTCGGGGGTTGCCACTGTGGGCTGTTACATGGTGCCTCTGAACCATTGGGAAAGAGAAATTGAAAATGTCCTTCCTCACATGCATTGATTATGCCTGCCCTCAYGGGAAACACACAGGTTCTGTGGTCCAGATTGGTGGTAGACAACAATTCAATGCATAACTGAAGTACTTAGTGCCATTATTTCTGCAAAATCCTGGTATTATTCTCTATGACTGTAAGGATGTGTTGTGATGCCAGGACATACACAGCTGGCATGGGCATAAACACTGGCATAAGCAGGGTTGTACACCTTTGTGCCCAGAACTGTCAGTTCCTGTATGCTTCCTCCATGGTCACACACACACACACACACACACACACACACACACACACACACACACACACACGCACACAGACACACCCCGCAGTGTGACATGCATGCACAGAATAGAGAGACACAGGGACAATCACTGAGTGGGGTTACTGAGACAAACAGGATTATTCATGGCTTCACACTGCTGAGCTGGTGGACAAAATAAATTGTATATTTTGAAGGGGAAGAGAGAGATAAGCTGAGCTTTATGATTTACCCGGATAATCTGGTGGTCTATTTTTAAATATGTGATTTCGGGTTTCCATGAGAGGGAGAGCTGATGAAATGCAGAAGCACTGAGAGGAGCCTTTCTTAAAAGCATCCAAAAGGATGCTAAAAACGCTAGAATATTCTTTTTGAATAGGGCTGAAAATAGCTCTTTTTACTGGAGTACCAATTAGTCCTTATGAGAGGCCTGGCTATCCTGGCTTCCCTGACTCACAGGCAGACTTTCCTTGATGCCAAGCTGCAGCTCAGTATGGCATCTGCTCTTCTAGATGAATAACATAAAGAAGCTGACAATAACGTCTGCTCACTAAATCATCTAACCAAGGTCATGAATGTGAAACATTTCAAAGAGAAAAAAATCTGCTAGCTCTCTCCCCTCACACTAGTTTAACTCATTTATTCAACAGGCAAGAAGCTGGCTTGAAAATACATGGAAATAGTTGACAAAGGTCTGATGTAACATGTATGTTTCTTCTTCATCACCCTCTCCTCCCATCAGAGTAATTTCAGTGGTTTTCATGCAGTCCCCAGAGCAGTGTGCTTTGCTGATAACAGGAGGCAGGAACCAGCTTGGAGTCAAGCAAAATAACTGGTCTCTGAACTTGTGTCACACAGAAATACAGATTGATTTGTGGCATATTTGCAAGGAATAAGTCTTCTGATGTGAAGACTATCTCTRWGTATAGAAGGGACTTTTTCCCTTAMAAAGAAGGTTTTTCTTTTCCAAAGTATAACTTTGCAGTGGTTGGAAATTGAAAGGTATGAAAAGGCCACATCATCTGAATTTTATTTGCTTGGCCTGTGAGTAGCTGAGCCTTTTTTGCAAAGGCTAGAATGGACCCTTTCCCGTGATTGGGATCTGCTTCCCAGTCACTGGATATTATGGCAGCCCTAGCACACAGTTGATGTATCAGGGAAGCAGGACTGCAATAGCATGAAAGGCTATGTTCTATCTCCCAACCCCATGCTCCCTAGCTCCAAGCAAGTGGATAATTAATTTTTTTTTTTTTAGTAGAATTCTGAAGTCTACAAAAATGCAGAAACACCTCCCCCAATCACAGTGTTCTGTTAAAGAATTCTGATTTTTGTGTGATTCGGGTAGGGAATCAGCCGGGGAACCAATTTTATTTTGTTTAGCTAGTCCCTGAGCTTTAAGGGACTGCAGATCTTGTAGTTAACAAGTAACCCTTGAAGTTAAACTTGAAGGTTTTCATCAAGACCAAGCAGTTCATGTTATTTCAAGTTCAACCATTAAAAAACAGGCATAGCTAAGTTAAGGGATTTTTTCTGAGGTGAGCTTTTGGATGCACATATTCTATTTCATGCAGCCTGAGGAGTCCCCATTTGCAAGCYTCTGAATGCCAAAAACCTCACTAACTTCAATAGTGCCAGATTAGAGCCTGAGTGGACCCCATGGCGTGCTTAAGATCTTCATTCTTTTAAATGTACAAATTCTCTATATAGTAGAGCCAATGCTCTTTGTGGCAGAAGTTTGTCATGACATCTATGGAGTAAAAAAAAAAATTATTTAATTTGCAAGTCATAGTTTTCCAACAGCACAGTGTTACCTGTGGAGGTCATGCCATGCCATACCATGCCATGTCAGAGGTGAGACACAGGTATGTGTAAAGGCAAGAGGAAAGCAGGAAAGCAAGTACAGGAAGGTAATGAGAGTCAGGGGAATAATGTGACAGAACCTGGGCTTCATCTTTCCACTCAATAGCTGTTTTTTTCTTCATATGGAAGATTTCAATCTACTAATATGTCCTGTTCATTTCTTAATAGAAGTATAGTAATAGATAATATAAATATAAATAAGTGGAATATCAAAATATGCAAACTTGTGGGCAGCCTTGATCCCATTTGGGATCATGTCAAAAGACATGCTGACTTCACAGCTGAYCTTGCATACCTGCTCTGACATTGTGATAAAGATTTAAACGGTGTATATAACTAATACCGTATTGATAATGTTAGCTGGACACTTCCTTCCCTTCAGAATCATGGAACAAAAGGCTTCTGTCATATAAAGTGACAAGTTATCCACAGATGGCTGAACCTACAAGTGACATTTTAAGAGCTTGGACACTTGTCTTTTTTTTTTTTCCTTTTCATTTTTTCTTTTTTTTTTTTTTTTTTTTTCACCTCTATAGATGCCAGATATATGTTAGGTT